CAGATTCTGCCAGTACCGTTGTTGTCTAGGTGGGAAGACAGATACCTGGTGCTTCGGACTCTGCCGACTTCCCAGAATATTCTCTAGTTCTTAAGCCCTTTGTTGGTAAATTGGTTCTTCAGTTGTCCTGCTGTCTGCTAGGACTCAGGTCTCCTTTGGCCCTTACTACTTTTCTGTAGGCTTTAAATATTCAGATTGTGTTCATGTCTTTTTTTTTTTTTTTCATTCTCCTTGGCCTTGTGGGTTTAATTAAGCTTTATTAAAAAACGTAACTATTTATTGTTTTTAGTGGGATTTGGGAAGGAAGTGAAAATAGATGAGTTTGTTTAGTCTTTATCTGGAAGTCTTGTCTCTTTTTTTTGGTTTGTTTGTTTTGAGATGGAGTCTCGCTCTGTCGCCCAGGCTGGAGTGCAGTAGCATGATCTCGGCTCACTGCAAGCTCCACCTCCCGGGTTCACGCAATTCTCCTGCCTCAGCTTCCCGAGTAGCTGGGACTACAGGCACCCACCACCGCGTCTGGCTAATTTTTTTGTATTTTTTAATAGAGACGGGGTTTCACCGTGGTCTCGATCTCCTGACCTCGTGATCCGCCCACCTCGGCCTCCCAAAGTGCTGGGATTACAGGCGTGAGCACCACGCCCGGCCTATCTGGGAGTGTCTTGTCTCTTTATGTGTACTTGTCTTATCTTCTTCAACTAGACTGCAAACTCTTTGATTTAGCTGAGTTAGGGATATAATTCTTTTTATCCCTCTCAGCAGCTAATTTATTGCTTTCCACACAGAAATCATAATCTGCTGGTTGAACTTGTTAAGTAAGGCAGTGATGCTAAGTGATTGATACAGATAATAAATTGGTAATCATTTTAATCCCAGGGCAATTATTAATGTACTGTGTTCCTTGATACACATAATTACATATAACATTATATATTATATAATATACTGTAGCCATTCACATATTTCTGTATTAGGTGCGTTTTTTTTAAATTGTTTTAACTTATCAGCTATCATTAGTGTTAGTATATTTTATGCGTGGCTTAAGACAATTCTTCTTCAGTGTGGCCCCGGGAAGCCAAAAGATTTGACACCCACCCGTGTTCTAGCTATGTAGAAACACATACTATACCATACTACTGGGCACTAAGTCAATGCTTCGTAATGTGAAAAAGTCGTCACTATATTTAGGTCTTCTTAATAATACATTTCATTATCTTAATTGCACCTATGTTTCATTTAGCCAGGGATTTCTTAGGGTAACAGTCACTAATTACCTGGAGATTGAGAAAAAACTCAGTTATGATTATTTGTTGCCCTTTCTTTTTCCCTGGTTGTCTATTTCAATGTATTCTTATCAATGAAACACTAAACAAACTTCTCTTAATCTAATGTAATTCTCTATAGTAGTTCATAGGAATTATGTAAGGTTCAGTTTAAAACAATGGATTCTTAAGATAGTATGTACTCTAAAGTTTGGTCTAGACACTAAATGAAAGTGAGTGCTTTGGCAGTTTATGTCCTAGGCTAAGTCAGGGTACAGATATATATCTATTAATTATCTTGTCTTTCCAGTCCAAACAGGGGCTTTACAGAAATGCACTGTATGAGTGGCCATTCCAATTTTGTATCTTGTGTATGCATCATACCCTCAAGTGACATCTACCCTCATGGCCTAATTGCCACTGGTGGAAATGACCACAATATATGCATTTTCTCACTGGACAGTCCAATGCCACTTTATATTCTAAAAGGCCACAAAAATACTGGTGAGTATAATAATACTTCGGTATTTTTCTATTTGAAGAAGTTTTATCCCTTTGAAAGTAAAATTTACATATCCATTTTCTCAAGTTTTTATTATATTTTGTTTTATCTATAGGTGTGGCTTGGTAATGGAAACCCTTTTGGGCTATCTTAGTTTTGTAAATTCTGTTAAAAATTTGTTGTGATCAGTAAAGGTTGATATGCTTATATATGTAGAAAGTAATCTGTTCAGTTATTGGCTGGGGACGGTGGCTCACACCTATAATCCCAGCACTTTGAGAGAGTGAGATAGATTACTTGAGGCCAGGAGTTCGGGACCAGCCTGGAAAACGTGGCGAAACCCCATCTCTAATAAAAATACAAAAATTATCCAGGCGTGGTGGTGCACACCAGTAATCCTAGCTGCTCTGGAGGCTGAAGCATGAGAATGGCTACAACCCAGCAGGCAGAGGTTACAATGAGCCAAGATCCTGCCACTGCACTCCAGCCTGGGTGACAGAGTGGAGGTTGTCTCAAAAAAAAAAAGTAAAGTGTTCAGTAATAAAAGAGGCTATATAATTTGAATATACTTCATGACTTTGGTTTTTAACTATTTTATGCAATGAATGCTTTTATTCAGGAAAACTAAAAGTATTTAATAAAAGACCCAGCCAGAAGCAGTGTGTTTAGGGCTGTGGTATTATTGAAGAGTATTTACATTTGCA